GGGACCTCGAACTGCTCCCATCATTGCTTTGTTCTATCACTGTTTTTCAAGAAAAGCTAGTCTGTTATTTGTGAATTCTTTTTTGACTTGTACTCACAGTGCTGTCCTAACTCCTTATCAACTTGTGTTTATCATCAGGGGCCCCCTTGGAATTATTCACAGCAGCTCAGGAGACAAATTAGGATATTCAAAAAGATGTCCAGTTCTGGAACTGGACAGATTCAGATTCCCATTGTGTTAGTTCCTAGTGGTTGATTTCAGGCAACTAATAACCTCAAATTTTCTATCACCTGTAAAAAGTAGGATAAAATTAGAGTTAAATAAGGTCAGACAGTCAGAAGTGCCAGGCACAAATAACACACTCAGGAAATTTCCTTTTTCATTTTTCATATCTGGTTCCGTGCACATGAATGTAATTCATATAGAGGTTTATTTTTTACAACATGCTTTTGAATTGTCATTTGTATTCTTTGCACAAAGAACCAGAGGAAGTAATTTTATTAACAGCTTCAGATAAGCAACCCAAGAGTAAGTTCCTGCCTAGGATCACGCAGCTAAATTGCGGTATCAGGACCCGAAAACAGTCAATCCCCTTACTCTGTTCCGGTAGCCAGTCACCTAACAGAGACGCCGGTGGGACCCAGCCACCTCCCTGCTGGTGGTTTGAGCATGTGAAGTGGAGGCCTGGTTACTTTTGTTGCTTACCAGACACTTTGGTTTTTACCTGTGAGTTTTCTGATGGGTAATAGGCTGTCCTGGTTATAAAATTAGAGACGATGACTCTTTTTACCAGCCAGTTAAAATGAGTCTCAGTCAGCTCTGCTAGTGGAATTGTCTGTCTGTCTTGCAGTTGGGACAGTAAATGTCAGTCACTCCATTTCTGATCGACAGACAAGCAGTCTGTGAACTGCAACTTCCTGCCGGGGTGCCCACTGTGTGGCCAGCAGCCCCTTAATGTGACCGGACCTTCAGGGGTCTCTCCTGGGCCCTCCATCTGCTTACTGCAAATAAGGAAGAATAGCATGCCCACCGACTCTATCGCTTTCCTCTTACTTTACTAACTACACTGAAAGCTTTACACATAGGCTCTGTGTTTCATTTGAACTGTTTCGAGACCAATTACTATTCAGTTTAGGAAAAGTAGATATTTAGTGGGTTTCTTTTGCTCTAAATCCTCAGTTATTTGACTTTTCCCTGTGGGAAACCAGTGGGATGTACTGTATGTGGGCGCTCTCTTTCCCAGAGCATCCTCGCAGTGTCCTGTAAGTGCGTCTAGCTTAGCATTCATCACGTCTCAGATTCCTTAAGAAGAGGCATTTTCTGCTGCATCTGCTGTCCACAGGGCCTAACAACACAATGACCGTGCAAAATGCAAACCAGGTGGTGGATGTCCGTTGCACCTGACTTTCACTGTGCGCCCAGACAGCATCCCGTCGACAGGTCAGACCAGAGCCCTCCTCATGGCAGAGTAACTGGCTTTCAGGTCTCCAGTCAGCCGTGTGACAGGCAGGTGACATAGATCCCAAAGACGTTTGTATTCCACGTGCCAAAGCCGATGGGCAAGTCGTGATGCCGTTCAGGTTCATACTTCGGTTGTGTGAAGTGAGGCATTGTGACAATATTAAGAATGTATTTCAAAATACTCCATTAAAAATATTATATACAGAAGGATAAAGTGAACATTTTTCCCTTTGTAGAATTTTTTCCCCCTGATTCTGCCTTATTTCAATAAAAAGCTGCCAAGGGGCACCTTGATTTTGACTGTTTTCTGTTTGCTGAGAAATTAATGTTTTCAGCTGCATTAGATTATCAGCAATGAGAGTCTCAAATGGTAACTGGAGCCCTTCAGTAGTGGAAGTATAATTATCATATTAGCATCATAATCATCTGCTTCTCGGCACTATCTAAGGTCATGAGAGCGACAGATGCAGCTTTGTTCTACCTTGATGATGTTTCAGTAAAACCATTTCTGTTTTTATTCACTCAAATTTATGGTTTCTCCTTTGTGTTGACATTAAGCAGTGAGTCTATTAGTTCCCATTAACAGCAGAATAACAAACTATAAATAGTTCTATATTTCCTCTCACCAGTCCTTCAGGCTGCATAGATGCTTCTCGCTTCATAGAAATCTTTGTCATAGATCTTGTTTCCCCTGTTTTTAGGCAAATGCATGCTTTCTTAAGCCTGATTATAAAGGAATCCAGATAAATATAAAAGTCAAGTCACTCCATCAGACTTACAGTATCATTGAAAAAACTTCAGTGTTGTATTTTATGGACTTGCTAGTTCTGCCAAGAAACAATGTATCATAAACACCACATGTAATTTCTTTCCAATCTAAATATTATCAAAAGGTTAGGTCTTTTCTTCCTAATAGGAACCAACTTGCAAAATACCAATTTCAAGCACCCTCCTAGCCATTAGCATAAACACATTTTTACAGGTTTTAAAAGTGGCCTGAAGATGAACTTAGTAACATGTTCTGATGTTGCCATAGCCAGTTTATTCTGGCTCCCAGTGTCACAGCCTAATGGCCTCACCCCCCAGGAACCCTCAGAGCAAAGCACCTTCAGTGCGGCTTTGGCTGTGGCTCCGCTGGGCATGGCTCCCCTCCACGGTCCCGTTTCTGCTTGGCCTCGCCTTTGGGGGCCTGTGATGAGCACAGGTTTTCAGAAGAATTTGATCCCTTGCTTGGTGGTCCTCACGCCCTGGCATTTCCTTTCCATTCATAGGTGTCCAATGACACGAGTTTAGTGGACAAGACTCTGAGCGAACCTGGGATCTAGGCCAGACGTGGGGTCTTTCTTAGCCGTGTGCCAGCCTGGGTGCTGGCGCTGAATTACTGGCCGATGCTTTGGTCTTGGTACTCGGTCCCTGACGGATCTCTCACCATCTCCCCCCCCCATGTGGCCAGCGATCTTTAGGGCCACTGAAGGGAACTTCTCTGGACTGACGGGAACCCAGCCTTTTCTTTTACAAAAGCTTCTAGTGGATTAAAAACAAAAATTAGTATGCCTTAAAAAGAAGTCTCTGCAAAGCCAAGATAACATCAAGCTTCATAAAATTAAAAGTAATTTCTTAACATAATTCAATGTTCCTTGGTTCTCAGTCTCCCCAGTTTTAAGGCCAGTTTGTCCCAGTGAGGATCCTTTTTGGATCCTCGTATTGCTCATTGTTGTTGTGATATTGTGATTTGTAGCAAGAAATACCATATAGATTTGGTCTTCTGCAGTGCCTGGCACGGAGCCCCTAAAACCTTTGGAATTCCCTAAGCAAGGAGAGTGATAAGGTATCTTTTGTTAATGAGTGACTTCGGAAAGCCCCCAGGCAACCACGTGGTGGGGGCTGGTTGCAAGGGGAACCCGGCAGGTGACTAGAGGGTTGAAGCCTTCCATCCCCCACCCTGGCCTCCGGAGAAGGGAGAGAGACAAGGCGGGAGCGCCGCCAGTGGCCCTTGATGGTCACCCAACCCTGCCTGTGTGATGAAGCCTCTATAGAACCCCCAAGGCTGGCTCTGCAGAGCCTCTGGTCAGTGTGCGCGTGGAGAGGAGCGTTCAGAGGGCCGGGGATCCCCGCTTCCCACATAGCCTGACCCTTGTGCTCACCTGGCTGTTGCCCCATATCGTCTATAAAACCCTTATGATAAAACTGGTAGACGTGAGTAATGCTTCTCTGGGCTCCGTGAGCCGCTCAGGCAAATGACTCAGACCTGAGGTGGGGGTGGTGGGAACATCCACCTGTGAGTCAGAAGCACAGGTGACGACCTGGAGATTCGGTTGACCTGAAAGTGGGAGCCTCCTTGGGGTCTGAGCCCTTGGCCTGTGGAACCTGATGCGACCTGAAGACAGTGCCAGAGTTGAGTTAATTATCTGGTGGTGTGGGGAAAAAAGTACACACTGCAGTTACATTCCTTTTTTACTTTTCTAGTAGTCGGATTTGTTCAAGAGGATGGAATGCTAATAAATTAGAATATTTATTTCAATATATTTAAATGTTTACTAATCTGTAAATGTGTTTAAACACTTCAGAATATTTAAGTTTATTTAAGAACATTTTCCTACACAGCCAAAAATGACACCATTTCCCTTTCAATGTTAATAATTCCTTAATATAAGACAACACTTTATCAATATTCAAATTTTCCCAATTTGTTTTTAAGTCTTTTACATCTGGTTTGTTTAAACCAGGTTCCAACCCAGAACCACACACTGCAAGCGGACATTTTGCTCTCTCAGTATCTATTCATCTGGAATAATCTCTTTTATTCACGTCAGGAATTTATTGACAAGCCGAGGCTGGTGGGTGTCCTGCAGAGCTGCCCACCTCCTGGACTGGCTCTCTGACCCCTCTAACACCAAGCCGCCCAGTGTAGGTGTAGTGACCACTAATTGCGTGCAGCAAACGACCTTCTAAGACTTAGTACAAAAAAAAGGTGAAATGTACATTTCACTATTTTTTTATATTAAATATGTGTTCAAATGATAATGTAGGTATATAAGGTTAAATACATAATACCACTAAAATTAATTTTTCATTAATCTATCTGCTAGAAAATTTTATTGGTCTCCCAGTATGTTTCCATCAGAGAGTGCTATTCAACAGATCTTACAGCAGAAAATTGCTACCCTGAAATGACTCCACGTCCATTTTCTGGGACAGAGTAGGAAAAAGAACATCCGAAGGCTACCGTGTTCCGGCTCGAGCTTTATAACCTTCAGTCGCTGTGTCCTTCCTTGTAGAAGCTAAATGATTTTCCATGGTAGATCCAGCCTGGAGCATTTTAGGGCCCTGCAAACACGGCATTGTCCAACAGAAGGAAGGGGTGCTAAGGATTTTTGGTGCCCCGATAGCTCAAGTGCCACATAGTACAAACCCGCAAGTGTGCATCTGATGCGAAATATGGGCATTAAGCCCGTGCTGCCAACACAAAAGCAAGAAAGCCCGTGAGCCGATGGAAGTTCACGCTGCATTTATTTTTGTATTTGTTTGTTTCTTTCTAGTGTTGGAAAACCTTGGCCAGACGACCGTCACCAGGTTTGGAGCCCTGGAAAGTGAGCCTGATTTCCTGACCCCCGAGTTTGTGAGTACCGCTGCATTCTCTTAGACTCGTGCTGCTTGGCTGGAGAGCCTCAGGGTGGAGAACAAGTCCTTCGTGTGAACGTTTGCCCCGTGGCCCCAGAGCTGGCACAGGTCCCGTGGCAGTGGCTCTGTGTGGGGCGCTCTGGAGTTCTGGGGACAGGGCGCTGAGCTGCAGTGCTGGTGGGTGCGTTCTCCACACTGCTCACAATCAGATGGGGGCTTGTTCTGCCACACACAGCGTCGTGTTTCCGAAAGCCCCTCCCCTCACTGGTGCCCTCACTGTTGGGGTCTGTGGGCGGTGACCCCAGAAGCCAGTCTGCAGAGCGCTTGCAGATGCACCGACAATCCGAGGGGAACTAAACGCTCTCACTAGATCAGACTCATTAAGGGTTAGCCATGGTCCTACCACGAGGAATTAAAAATCTTACTAGATGCTACTGTGATTTTATTCATGCCTTGTTTAAAGAAAATTAAGCATATAGTGTGCCTCATGCAGAATGTCCTTACTAAATAAATTTTATATTAAGCTCATGTAAAGAAGAGGGGTGGGGAAAAGTGTTTCTCTGACCCATATACCATATTATTGCACCAGATGTGTAGAAAAGCATGCCAGGATCCACCCATGTTTACTGGTTTTCGTCCTCTGCTTTGAATGTCCTTGTCGACCACAATGCAAAAATCTTTCTTGGTTTATTTTCAAAGTGTGATATACAGTCACCACTCCAGTAATTGGTGGAGCACAATTGTATTATTGCTGAAGACAGAAAAAACTCATTTGTGTGTCTCTGCTCACTCACTCTTTGTGGATTGCCTACCCCTTTCTGCCAGGAGTATGGAAACCAGGCCATACTCTGGACCTTAAACGGGCCCACGTGACGCTGCACCCACAGTGCCATTTCATTTCAAAGTGTGGGGCTTCTGTGGGGCACCAGCAGGTCGCCTACTGTGAAAATCACTTGGATGTAATAGAAAGACATAGTATTCGATGGCTCCTGTTACACCCAGTGAGATTTTGAGAGAAGGGAAATGGTGGGCGCTCACCAGTAGTCCTGTGTCTACTGCAGAGAAGTGTTGTGGTTTTTCTCGCCTCTGCAGTTAGCGCCCCACCGCAGAATGGACACAGAGAGTTCACATTGAGTGTGGTGCTGGCACAGACTCACAGAGCTGGTCCTCTTTTGTTTTGAAAACTGCCTTTGCTGACAACCTTTAAGCAGCAAATGTGGTCTAAAAAGAGCCATGTGCAGTCAGAAGCTGGTGTGCTTGTGCACACATACGTAGCTCACGCCAGTTCCCTGTGTGAAAATAAATGCATTTTTCTCCAGAACAGATTGCTGTGCATTACGATGTCTGAGGTTGGCATCTGGTAATTACAGTGAAACTCTCTCCCTCCTCCCGTGTTGGCTTCTTGAGCACCACATTCCCCTTTTCAAGGTGTGAAGATGGCAGGGAAGGGGGGTCTGAACTAGAATGGCCAGGGGTGGAACTTGGGGGTCACAGAATATACTTCCTGTTCTGAGATACTTGTCTGAACAGTGAGTCTGGGAACTCCCAACTGAAAGGAGGTTTTTAGACTAAATTCCCTTTTTGTTTTTTTTCATTCTCATGCCTCAGGAATAGAGTCATTTCGTGCGACCGCACTGGTGAGGCTGAGCTTGTTAATCACAGGTTCCTTACACGAGCGCTTGGTGACAGACCTCTGTCCCCTGGCCGGTACCTTTCTCTGATCGCACATCATGCTGTGTTCGAGAAGGGTGTGGTTTTCTCGCGCCTCAGGTGTCTGTGCCTGCTCAGCGTGTGCCCTGCGGTGCACCCAGCCATGGGGCCTGCCCTTCCTGCCCCCCCTTCGCCTGCGCCCTCCCCGCCTGTCCCCTTTCCCTGCCACTGTCTCCATGGCAGACAGGCAGGAACTGTATTGGTGCCTTGGGAGATGGGTCCTGGGGGACTGGGCGTGGCGCCAGAGGGCAGCCTTTTCTGTGGCTGCAGCATCAGTCAGACTGGCGGCTCCAGGGGTCCTGCGGCTTGGGTAAATGCCAGGACAGAGTTGGGTAAGTGGGTCCAAACCTAGATGAGAACCAGAACCAGGAGACGGTGCAGACCTGGGCGAAGGGTCATGGGCAGAGGCTGTGGCGCCCAGGCCCACCTGCAGAGCCCGACCGCAGAGGGATGCAGAGCCTGGTGCCTGCACACAGCACACTGCTCGTGCCGTGCGGCGAGCAGGGAGGGCCATGCTTCCTCACTGGCGTTTCCTCCAGAATTCCTGTTTCCTTCCTTGGAGAGGAGGCCCGAGGGAGCCACGCTGGCCAAGCACCCTCATTACAGCAGGGCTGGCACATCTGAGCCCGGGCGCCCGGGAGGCGAGGAGCGGGCGCGGCCAGGGCTGCACTAGCCCAGGGAATAAGTGCTGGGGTGACGCCCGCCCTTCGTTGTCTGCGGGGGCTCTGCCCTCGGCCCACTGTTGACCTGCCATCTGTGCGGTGTCCCCTCCGCCTCCCTGTGTCCCCCTGACCTCCCTGCTTCCCCCTTCCACCTCCCCTGTCCCCCACCTCATGTCCCCCTGGCCTCCACATGTCCCCCCACCTCCCCGTGTCCCACCTCCCATGTCCCCCCACCCTCACGTGTTCCCCTTCACCTCCCCATGGCCCCCCAATCCCTGTGCACCCCCTCACCTCCCAGACCTGCTCTGAGGTGAGGAAGGTGTGTGGGGGTCCAGGTGAGAGCTCTCTGGCTGAATGCTGACTTGACAGGGGTGGCTGGGTGCACACGCCATGCTAGGAAGCCATCCCAAGCCTGGTTCTGCTTTTTGCTTATGCACAATGGAAGTCTGTTGTGTAACCTGCTTTATTTACTGAACATTTTCCCAGTGGGCTTCCCCGCCGTTCTGTGGTGATACAGCTGACACACGGCACCGAGTCAGTGCGAGCGTCCAGCTCCCACGGCTCTTCCTCTGACAGCACTGTTATCTCTCTGGCATTACCTGTTCCCTGTGCCCATGCACTGTTCAATCACACTGTAATTATATTTAATCACACTATAATTTTCAAAGCAGTTAGTCAAGGGGGCCCTAGTCAAGGAAGTGGCAGCATGGTCAGATGCCCTGTAACTGGTGACCATGTATGGGACATGGACCTGAAAATAGACTGGGTGTATGATGACCTGTGCTGCGCTCCGGGGACCGGGGCTGGTGACAGTGTGGCTGGGGACTGAGCATCAGATGCCCACATGGCCTCGTAGAGTTCAGACTTGGAAGCAAAATTGCAGACCTAGGCAGTTCAGTTAAATCCAAGGGTGGGGGCCGTCCACGTGGTCATGGAGCAGGTAAAGGCCTGCCATAGGACCCCAAGGCATAGGAAAAAACTGGGGTTTGATGGGACAATAGAGGGAGAGATTGGGTGGTGGTCAAGGCTCTTTCTAGAAACCCTGCGTGTGTTGCCACTGACCGGGGCTCACATGGCCGACCACCTGTACCCAGATGGGGAAGGGGAGGTGTGGGGAAGAACTCCCATCTGTCAGTGGTCCTTGTGCTCCAGCGAGCAGCATAGGAGCCGGGCTGCAGCTGGCGTGAGAGCTCACGGTGGCACAGAGGAGGTGAGGAACTGCACTTGGCGATCCCAATCTCCCTACTAATACCCCTTTTCTGGCCCATCCAGAACTTGAGGTTTATATACACCTGTCCTGGCCTTTGAGAGCAGGAAGATTCTTATCACCATCTCATGCCAAACTCGTGGTGTTTTTGTTTAACTTCTACCAAATTTAGAGTAAATAATAGTTTAGGCTGGCAGAAGAGTAGTGGGGTTACATTAGGATAAACCTGGGAAGATGTTGAGAGACCACAGGCTTTAGAAAAACTAGAGAAATAGATTGAGGAAGGTGAGGGTTCAAATGGAGCAAATATATGTTCCTTTCGTTCAGCCCTTTGGGTGATGTGGCGAGAAGGAAGCCTGGAGGGTAATGATCTTTTGCAGTTTTGTGTCACTGGCTCCTTTTATGAGGGATGATACTACTTTATTGGAAAAACCGTTACTCCTAGAAATTCTAATTTGATTGTCTTCAACTAGATGGAAATATATGTGATGCCCAACAACATTGGAATATTAATCCACTTAACAAATATTTACATGATATCTACTATTTGGGGCACTCTAGCAAACAAGCAGAAAACAATCTGAGCTTACATTTTGGTGGGGGAGACACAGAACACAAAATTAATAAGACACACAGGATGCCATGTGACAGTGATCCTTGGAGAAAGATGAACTAGGGATTGCATGTGGGGCGGCCTGGGCAGGGGGTGGTCGCAGTTTGAATAGGTTCAGGGCGTGTCTCACAGATGGGGTGTTGAGAGGTGGGCAAGGGGAAGACCTGACCGTGCAGATGCTGGGGTGCGTGGTCTGGAAACGCAGGTGAGGAGCATGCCGGGCAGGGGGCGTGGCAGGAACACAGGGCTTGAGGTGCGAGAGTTCGTGGTATGTCTGAGGAGGAGGAAAGAGGCGCCGTGGCAGGCAGAGTGCAGGGTGGCGAGGACAGTGGGCGGTGGGGGCTGCATAGGCTGCGGTAAGTGCTCTTGTTTCACTCTGAGCTGGGAAGTCACTTGAGGGTCAGCCTTCGGAGGATTGATGGGGATTCTGAGCAGAGGAGCCATCTGACCCGTGTCGCAGTGGAGGGCCAGGCGCAGAAGCCAGGAGCCCTCCTGGGCCTTCCACAGTCCACGTGCGCGGTGGGCTTGGGGGTGGCAGCGAGGCACGCTCGAGTTCTCAGTGTGTTCTGAAGGTCGGTTCGTTGAGAGAGCAGGTGTGGTGTGAGAAAAGAGCCATCAAGGGTGACTGTGAGGTTCTGGACTCGGGGGACTGTGGAGGGAGCAGTTTGTGGGGGGGGGGGGTGTTGCAGAGGAAAATGAAAAATGTTTTGGATAGTGTAAAATGTGGGCCATCCGAGTGGGGGTGCCGATGCGCAGTTGGATATATGAGTCCGGAGTTAACGGGGGGTCCAGCCGGAGATCTGGGG